GGGGGTCAGCCATTTAGGACCATGTGTGACAAGGAAGGGGGGTTTGAGAAATGTGACGTCACATCAAAATGCGCAACTTTAAATAAATATAGACAATACGTTCTACATAATTAAATAGACGTTTTCATAAATGTTTTCTCCTACAACATCAGAGTGCAGCGGCACATTAAATACGCACTACAATGACAATACTTTAAAGCGATTTGAAGCATGTTTTAAATTTTTTGGGGGGGCAGAGCTTTGTGACGTCATATTTGAGGGGGGTCTGACTTTTTGTGATGCCGTGTGACTAGAGGGGGGGGCGGGGTCAAAAATCGTCCAAAATCGCGTGACGTCATTTATGGATGGCCCCTTACCTGATAAAATAAATGTATTTGTATCATCAAATAACTTAAAAAAAAAATCGTACTTGTATCCATCCTTTGTATTATTATAAACGTATTAGATGCTACAAATAATAATATTGCATCAAAATACAGTGACGATGAGGAACACACTCTAAAGCAATGCATACATTTCTATCACACAGCACCAGTGGTAGCCATTAAAGGAAACAACCGCGTTTTAGAAAATGGTCAGTCAACTTCCACAATTACATTTACATTCCCATAGGTAAAGATGCAGTTCTGCAATTGCTCACGCCACTTCTAGCAGAAGGGCCTCCACTGGACTGAGCTCTAAAGAGCCCCTCTGGAAGGTATTTTGGGCTCCCCTTTTCCATTGGTCAGACGCCTTGGAAGAGGCGGGGAGTACCCCACACTTAACCCCGCTACACGTGACCTGCCGATAAAGTTTCTATTCCAGTACGCTGCACTATTTCTCGTCATTGTTGTAAACTCAGCGTTTCAATTACCGTACATTGTTATTTAAATTGTCAAGTCCTGCAGGAATTTTCCATTCAACTCCACGTAGACTTCACATTCGCTGGCACAAGCCTGCAGAAATGAATAAGCCTGTATTCAAGCAAACGATAGTAACGCCGCTGACAATTATCTAAACCTGATCATTATCCACCATTGTTAACAATAAGGGAGATATTTATACGGGACATTTTCGTGCATTACAAATGAGACGCAGGCTGCTGCCACATCCTATATTGCATTTATGGAGCCAATTTAAACTGTGCAACACAAATACCCACAGCATGCTTCTTTATACATCATTAATAACGAGAAAAGGTTACAACCCTGCCACAGCGAGATTTACACAACAATGTCAGACATTACTGCATTACAGCAAACGAGTTCTCATTCCACAACAATGATTGTCAATTTACTGCAGCGAGTGGCATTTGCCCACACCATTAACAAAGGCAATGGAAGCAAGATAATGCAGAGGGCCATTTGACAAAGCATAATAAAAAAAGACAATGAACTTGACTGTCTTCAAGTGCACGACCTCTGGCCCCGGTGACATTTTACATAGACTTCCCAAAAAAATAGGCAATTAAATGCCATTGTATGGCTTAATCTTTTTTGTTACTACAAAATAGTGATGTAAAAAGGAAAATCCAGATTTTTACCCAAGGAAATGTAAATAGGGGCATTTAATAAGATAACAATATATATCCATGTCCATCCGCTACATAGATGAAGGCCTTCCCATGGCTGAGCCGGTCATGGGAGAGCTGTCTGACCGTACTTGAGCATGCTGGTCAGTGCTGGTTGAAGAGGACCAAGGACCAGTTCAGATATCATCACTCACCACTGGTGTCAGCCATGGTTGGGAACCAATGTCAGGTTTCTGGGTTCAAAGGGACATTTATATCGCTGTAAATGTATTTCGTGTCCACAGTTACACAGATAAGAGGAAGTAGAACACAGATGAAAGACCTCAGCTTAAGTTTGACCGGATTACATGCGTTCATGGCAAGTTGGCCCCTGCCTGTGATCCACAGCTTTGCATGCAGAGTTTATGGATCACACAGACATTCACATGTGATACCCTATACCTGGTGGCCATGGGAGGACAGTGCAGTAGTCCCTCGGTTAACAGTGACATCGATTAACGGTTTTTCGGTTAACGTTTCGCCTTCCATAGGACCCCATGGTTTTGATTAACGGTATGTGTACATCATGCACGCGGGCGCCAGTTTCGGCCAATCCGAGCGCTCGTATTTGGGCTGAAAAATGTCAAGTTCCAATCGCCTTGGAACTGATTAATGCGTTTAACATGCAATTCCTATATTCGATGAACAGTTATTTTGGTTAACAGTAGTTTTCGTGTAACGGATTAAAAACGTTAACCTAGAGACTACCATACAGAAAATGACTCTGACATTTGTGTGTGGATATTGAACGTCATTACCTCAAAAAACTCCCTGAATGCACTTGAGCTGATGAAGTCTCAATGGCTTTGGCTGGGTGGAGTCTGGTTAGTTTCTTTATGGGAGAAAAAGCTGTGAGCTGACCAGGATTTGGCGGTACAGCAATGGATTATTGAATCCATCTGTGTGGAGCTGTGGCGATATCCCCTTGTACATAAAGATTGTTCCCGGATACTCCCGTTTCCTCCCACATGGGAAATACTCGCTTGGGAATTGGCCGCACAAACCCTATGCAAACTCTGGAGACGGTGAAGATTTTCTCAACAAAGGAAATTGTCCTTTGTTGGATAATCTGCATTGTGGGCATATTCACCAATACAAAAGACGCACAGTACAGTACACATGGTACGCATGCAACATGCTATGAAAAAGTATCAACAAAAGCCATGATCCATCAAACTTTTTTAACCATCGATCCATGTTAGCTCATGCACACACGCCGATTTAATCATTCCATCTCCTCGGTGCACGTGTATCCACACCTCTGATTAGCAGGATTGGCTACGTACGGTGCAAAATAAGTTGAACATACATATACTGTTGTCTGGGACGGGTTCTTCCATTCCTTGGCTGCTATTGCGTCACTACTTTTGAATATTGGGCCATCATCCCCCTTCAAGAAATGTGTCCTGTATGTATGTTGAACTTCTTTCCCACCGTACGTAGCCAACCGTGCTAATCTTTCCCAAACGCACTTTTCCTTCAACTGTACAGTAGTTTAACTTACTGCCATTGACTTGCATACGTTATCTAATACATGTGTTCCTATTCTTGGTTCTTTCGGTAAAGTCACGTAGAAGGGAAACAATAAAAAATATATAAATTTTTTATATATATTTTTTGTTTCCCTTCTACGTGACTTTACCGAAAGAACCAAGAATATGAATCCCTGCAGTCACGAAAGCTTTAAATCGACATGTGTTCGTCTTTGTGTTTCAGGGTGATTCCACGCACAGATTGCTCCATGCTTTATTGAGCACTTTCCAGATTAGTTTTTCTCAATGTGTTGTTGTTGTTCTTTACGACCGTGTTTCTCTGAACCATGGCATATAGCAGGCAGATCGCACCGAATTAAAACACTTTCTACTTTAGACACGATCCACTTCATCATTCCACTGCTGGATGATGGAAACTATCTCCGCACGCGGTACTGGTAATTCTGACCATACTTCACCCCGTTGGTTCGTTTGGGTTTAGTTCAATACTAGGAGCATTCAAGTGCGGTGCAACAATTGGTTTTGCTACACTACCCACAGCCTATAACACCTGTTATGCACAGTGGTTCGCCCATACGGATTACCATAATTACCTATACTGACATTCGACATCTTAATAAAGGATCTGTGTATCATCGTTTTTTGGGTTTTAAATACAATACACACCGTTATACAATGCTAATGTCGGATGTTTATGATATTTATGGATATGTACACGGGTAAAATACATAATCTGACACATGCAATAGTTCTCCTGTATGATATAATGTACACGCATTGTATTTACATTTAGATTGTACATTTTAAAAACACATTTTCCTTTCTACTACATCCGTTCACGACAAAAGCCTTCGGTGCACATATACAGTATGTTATTATATATCTACAAGGTACAGTTGTGCGAAGATAATTCAAAACGATGCGGAGTTGTGTGTTTTTTGGAAACGGGACAATGTCACAGAGCAGCAGAAGAATTAATGGTCTCACCGTGAACTTACGACCACCACTCACTGGGAAGAAGCCACTTCCATGAACAAATACCCCCCGTGTAGCCTTCACAGACTCCTGCCAACCCCTTATCAGTGCCCCTACCTTATTACAGACCAATTCAGACCTTATTGGTCACCCCGTGCCCTTTATAAATCTCACCGTTAATCCTACAAAAGTCCCATCACAATGGAGAAACAGAAACAGACCATTTTATTGCCCTTCATGAAACGGCTGTACACCGTATGGACCTTGAAAACTCAATTTCCCTGTACAAGAATACGGGGTAAACCGTATGGGTTGACAGCTGTGTAGATCTTCTTGGTTCTTTCGGTAAAGTCACGTAGAAGGGAAGTAATAAAATAATAAAAATAGAACATAATAAAATACAATTCTCACGACGTCTTCTGACAGACCTGTTCTTCACCTGAGGACGGCTGCTTGCGTTGTGGCCGAAACGTCGTGATAATTATTTTTATCATGTTTTATTTTTATTATTGTATTATTTTATTACTTCCCTTCTACGTGACTTTACCGAAAGAACCAAGAAGATGAATCCCTGCAGTCACGAAAGCTTTAAATCGAAAGGCTGTGTAGAATGTTGGGTCAAGTGCCGTCAGCGAGGACGCATTCAGGCCGGCACGGCACACGAGGTGGGTGGCCAGCCCCACGCCCGGCCGCCTTTGTCTCTCCAAGTGGCGGTGTTTAGGACAGCCACTAGTTTGAGGCCAAAGTTGACCCCAGCGTCGTGATGACACCCGCACAAAAACTGCGGCATTGGGAGGAAGAAGTGGAAACTAACAAAGGTTCGCACGCGTTTGACAGCGCAACTTCTGACGGATGTATCCTGCTATGGTGCTGTGTGGTGTGTGTGGTGTGTGCCTGGTCACTGAGAGACCAGAGCAATGTGGCCACAAGCACACACACACAGGGAGAGAGAGAGAGACAGAACGAGGTTGTGTGGTTCTTACCGCTTGTGCTGCAGTCTGCGCACACGTCAGGAGCCCGCAACTTTCGCGACATTGAAAGCTTCGGGTGTCGTGGTCCAAAGGGCACAAACACACACCAGCACTGCACACACACACAGAGAGAGAGACGACACACATTCACAATGCACTCACTCGCAATATACATTCACAATGCACTCACTCACAATGCACTCACTCGCAATACACACATTCACAATGCACTCACTCGCAAGTGGACTACGATACATGCATTCACACACTACGTTCACTACACACCGCACACACAATACCCACTCACTCACCATACACTCACCACATAATACTCTCCCACCATACACTAACACTACATTCACTACACACACAATACACTCACTCACCATACACTCACCATACACTCACCACACAATACTCTCCCACCATACACTACACTCTCCATACACTCACACTACATTCACTACACACACAATACACTCACACTACGTTCACCACACCATACACTCACTCACCATACATTCACTTACCATCCAATCACACTACGTTCACCACACCATACACTCACCACACACTCACTCACCATACACTCACACTACGTTCACCAGCACAATACACTCACCATATATTCACACTCGGCTCACTACACACCCACTCACAATGCACATCACGATTCATTGCACATTCACAAGACACTCACTACACACACACATGACACCAACACACAAATGTATAATAAAGGCTCTACCGCACGTTAACAAACTCACCAGACAATCACAATATGCACATTCCTAATAATGACAACGCACTAAAAATAAACATTCACAATACTCACTCTGCACTCATTCACAGTTCAAATACACTCACAACACTCTAAATACACTCTCTTACAATACACTCATATACAATGCACTCACCACACGCTCACGTTCCACTTGACAGACTATGACAATATAATATAACCATTCACAACACCCTACACACACACACACACATCCACTACAAAACACACTACTCACAACGCACAATCAGCATACAAACTCGCACTTTCATTACGGCCGATACTCAAAACTCCCCAACAGCACCCTCAATAATGAACCCTCACAACACACGACCACAACACACACACTAAACAACACCAACTACAACCACGCATACTCACACAACAACAACAATAGCAGCAGCACACTCACAACGCTTCACTTACCACTTATAACAACCGCAGTTAAATCGCAAACGCAAAAACGACGCCCGCTGTACGCACAAACTAAATAATAAAAAAAAATCACTGCAGGTGCTGTAGCTCGTCCACCCAACTCATTGGCCCGCTGTCGCTCTTACAAAGTTACTGCTACGTAGTTTAAGCAAGCGAGAGATTAAGTTGTTCGGAGTTGTGGACCCCTCCTCCTACCCCCCCACCACGTTCAGCAGCGGCAGCTCGGGTAGTGAGTAGCAGCCGTAGCAGCTGAGCCGAGTGCAGCCAAACCCACAGCGGGGGGGGGGCGTGGCCGACACTCCAAATAAGGGCATGTCCCCGCCCCACATATGCATTTCCCACCACGCATACGCATCGCTCGAGCCTTCCATTGGTCGATGGACAACGGGTGGGTGGGGCGGCGGGGGGAGGGGGAGTGTGATTGGCTCGCGGCAACTCCGAGCCCCGCCTCGTCTATGCAATGACGCGGTGGAAGCCTGGCACTTAAGCGCTGTGCGTAATGTGGATACGGGGCGGTGGCAATTGTTGTGGAGGGGTGGGGTGTGTTCCTGTCAATCAAATCGCCGGCCGGCAGGGCCACGCCCTACGCATCTTGGACGCTACCAAGCTGGTTGATATCGACGGGGGGGGGAAGGGGGGTTAAAGTTACTGATCTCAGTGACGAGAGCAAAATCCTGAGCGCGGTCCCGCCACCACCCCCCCCCCCCGATCTGCGTGCCGTTGGTCGCGCCTGTCGCGGGAAAGCGACCACGCCGTGCGCGCCGCCCACGTGCGACGGTGATGGTGGTGGTGGCAGCTGGCGGACAAGCGGCGTGGAGGCTCCCTCCTCGGGCTACGCCTGGGATAGCGCCCTACTTTTGACTACGCGTTACACAGGGAGGGGCAACCGGCCCCGAGGGGTGGGTACTCGCATGGCGGGGGTGGGGGGGTGGTAAAAAAGACAATAAAATAAACAATAAAACTCACCTCTCCATACATAGGGCTGTGGGTTTGACAGACACTGCCTTGGCCATGCATATTGGAACGCGGCGGCGCTCGGCGGGGCTGGTGTTCGCTCGGGGGCTATGAGAGCCTGTGCAGGAGGATGTCATCACCGCTCCGAGCGTCTGCCGCCGAAAGCTGCCGGCTGCATCGCTTGGTGTGGGACGACAGGACGTCCGCCCTGGAGACGGAGCTGAACAGCAGTCGGGTAATCCACACGGGATCTTTGGTGACAGCCGCCGCGCTCTGGTGGTGCCGTTCGGTTGCACTGCCATCACCCCGCACGCTGTGCCCCCCTCTCTCTCCCATGGTCCCCTTATCCAGCTGAGCAACTCAGTCATTGGGCTTGATTGGGAATGATGGTGATAATGGGGTTCGATTAACGTCAGGGCGACGGTACTTTTGTAGTTCAGTTTTACGAGGGTGAATTGTCGGCACGCGTGTTTGTGCTTGCGAAGCAAATGTGTAATAACACACACAGTTACTCATTCCGATTTAACACGCTGTAGGGGTTGAGCTAATTGAATGTTTTGTACAATGGAGAACTTTGATATATAACCAGCGTATTATTAGTTTAGTTTACATGGGTGATAGAAACAAATAAACGCCGATTAAAGCATAACATATTTCTGTAAAGAATATCATTGGAACGTGGATTGGTATTGCATTACCCTTTATTGCATGCTGTAATGCATATTGCACCCGTAGTAATACATTTAAAAGGTGTGTGATTTCCCAGGGTTTTGGGTTTCTGAAATGGAGCAAGAAGAATTTGTCTTCAGTGCATGATCAGCCAATCGTGTTAAACACGCTCTGCGGTTCTGGAATTAAATGCTTAATAAAACGTTAACATGATCAATTCGCTACGCATTACTACACTGCAGTTTCAATTGTTTTGTTTAAATTTCGCCCTTCACATTCTGTTCATTACGATCCTCTGGGTGTGTATAAAGCTGTCACATCGCTATGCATTCCGTTTTCCTCTTTGTTACTGTAAAGCGATGTATGTCTGCAGTACTGTATATCTAATATATATTTCAAAGAAAGATTACACTCCTTTGTCCATCCACTGCTGGATCAAGACCTCGCCGTGCTGTCTCGGTCCTGTTTGATCATACTTCACCACGCTGGTCAATGCGGGTTGTTGAAGTGGAGTGTAATGATGAGCCGGCAGGACCGGTTTAGCAGATATCACTTGCCACTGATGTTGGCCGTGAACGGGAATTGAACTCGGGTTACAGTTAATAGCGCCGTGCGCTAACCATTGTACCTCTGCTCCATCTCATCTAAGAGAATAGCACCCATATGGTCAATGTAACGTAAGCGTGGGTTGCAAGTACAGATGGCTGGTGTTAACATAATGGGTAAACTATAAATTAAACATTATTCTCACACCTTTCCTCACCTTTTGAAGATTAACAATTTTTCCAGAGCACTAGATGATGCATAATGTTCAGAATTGCATATACACGTCGTGGTGGGAGCTATACTTGGAGTTATAGTTTCTTGAATTTAACTATATTGAACACCCAGTTTTAAGTGACATCATGCAGCATTTGACAAATAGTTTTGGTTTACTGAGTTAAACGTGCATCTACAAGTCTAATTATGGACAAGTATGAGATTGTGTGCTAGTGTAAAATAAATAAATAAAACTCTTGCTCTGCACTTTATCTGGCTAAATTCCAGCTCTGATAATTACAAATATTGGTTTTAATTGATTGTCATGCAATGAGCATTACTTCAAAATGCAGAATGAGTGGGGAAGTGTTGATCTCTATTGTGTACACCAGAGGTCACTTGAATGGATCTCAGAAGTAACTCTGTAATATCTGCTTCTGTGGGCCGTTCTCTAACTCTGCTGTGCGAGAGATCTGAATTCGGCACAATCGGGATACATTTGAGGGGTGGAATTAAAAGGCGAAAGAAAAACCTTGTTTTGATGATGGAATCCAACATGGAGCGTGCCAGGTCAGCCTGAAATATCCTGAAAGAATGTGGCAGTTCCACTTGTGAACAAAGTGGACTGGCCTTGTGAGCGGGCAGATGCATGATGCACCATCCCAGTGTATAAAGGACAGGGAACCTACTGAAGGTCTGTACAAGCCAGGTGCTGATCGCTGTGAGATTTCACACAACACACAAACACGTATAAAAAGCACTCGGCACTTTTGCATTATGCAAATACGCTTTCAGCAGTTTTTGAAGAATGCATTTTTTCTCCTGCCTTAGGTCACCATCAAAGATATACAGAGATATACACCTTTAGATAGGTTCCGTCCTTGTTAGGACTTGTCGGTACAGTAGACATGTCAAGCACTGAATTATGCTGTCTGCCATTAGGAGCCAGATATGTGGAGTTCCCGCTTCGGTAGCATGAGGCCCATTAACTTGACTCATGCCAACAATATTGGAATCTGTAAATGGCAATTTGCATTTTATGTTGGGTTTTTCGTGTCATTTACAGATTTGAATGGCAATGAGATTGCTCACTTCATATCTAATTTGGTGAAAAAGATACCATAAACTAAAGGAATCGGATATGTGTATGTGCACTAATAACTCAGAACTCAGCACATTTTATGGATTTACTACTGCGAGCGATTGAATTGTTAGCTTATCCCCACCCTCTAAGACCTATATGCAAATTGCAAGTTATAATGTGGCTTGTCCTTCTCGTTTGGTCGAAAGTACTGTACTTTCAGTGACGATTGTGGGGTGGAAATACACGCTTAGTTTATATTAAGCCATTCGGCAGTACAGAGTGTGCTATGGCGTTTTTTGTAGCAATTATCTTATTAAATAAAATAGCCTTTGGCTTGGTTAATAATGTATCTCATTGTTTAATTTGAAATAAAAAAGCTCAAATAATATTTAAAATTGTTCAAATGATGTCCTGTAATTTAAAACAAACCCATGGTAAAATATAGATATTTATTAAAATACAGACAGTGTTTATATACACCACTTAACGTTATGAACTTATTAAATAAACCATAATAAATATTAAATTTAATTCTAAATAAGATACATATGGATAATAGGTTGAGGCTACCGATGGAATGGCAACCACTGGCGGCAAAACACTGAAGATGAAATCAGCTCGTGTTCAGGAGCGAGATGGATTGTGGCATCGTTTGACAGGGAAGGATGGCAACAGCTTGTAGATGCTTTCATTCAGCGGCAGATAGATCACAGTTTGTTGATGGAGTAATTTCCTCATCATCAGCCATGATTTTAGGGACGCTTCTGTTGATTTTGAGATACAATACATAAATGATTTCCAAGCACCAGCATTCGTCTTTCAGTGATCAGCGCTTTTAAAATGCCCTGTAACTGTTTTATGATACTATCCGTGAATCACTGGGAAAACATGTGATAACATCCATCATACCACAACACAGTGTTATGTATTGTCCTTGAAAATATAGTATGTAATTACAGAAATGCTGTGCATATTTGTGGTAATAATAATTTACTTATCCACAATTAATGAGCGTGTATAATAAGTGGGAGGAAACCAGAGCACCTAGAGAATCCCCATGCACGTGAGTGGACAACACTAAATCTCCATGCAGGTGGAAATAGATGGTGATTAGTCCACTTGCTGGTACTGCCTTCTCCTGGAAAGACAGGGTATGTATCACATGCACATGAGAGACAATATAAATGAGACACAATACAAATTACATGACACAAACGATACAAAGAAAACAGAATAGCTTTTTTAATTGAATCACAACGATGAATCACAATGCATTGAATTTCTGTGACAGTAGAGGTAATTCGTTTTATCATCATCAGCAGCAGCCAGGATCAATCTACTGTTGAATGAAGGCCTTCTTGAAGGCACCATCTCTCAAAATCCATGTAGCATTTCACCAATCGTTACACTTCCTAGTAAAAGGTAATGCAATATCTAAATTTCCCAGGTTAAAAGTACTATAATAATTACATATAAAGCAAATTTGATCATTATAACAATTGAAATGTCGAAACAATTTTTTTTACAATTTTTATATTACCAGGCAAATCCCACTGAGCTACATAGATCTTTTTCCGAAGTGACCTGGCCACAAATGATCGCTCAACGAAGTTGCTTACCATGTGGAAATGTATCATAGCCAAATACTCTAAATGCATGTTTCTAAATGTGGAGGGAAAAACCGGAGGAACCCAGAGAAAAATCTACGTGACCACGGGAAGAACACACCATCTCCAAATATACAGGAATCCGGGTCGGGATCAAAACCACGCCCTCCTGTATACAAGGCGAGGTAGTTAGTATCTCAATCCGTGTGGCATGAGGGATAAGAAAGTAATCACTTTAGTGTGAGTAGCATCGAAATATTGGCATTTGTTGAGTCTTTATGAGAGCATGCCATTTATTTTAAAGGTCAAATTTAGCATTTTCCATCGTAGATTTGAAAGATAAAGATGCAAATAAGTATTTTAGATCGTGTAAATATACAAATGTGTCGTTTTGTTTTAGTCTATACAATCTTCCATATACTATGAAGTGTTGCTTATCTCCACCTACACACAGCACCTAAGAATGTGAGAATCGGGGGAAGCTTTTAAAAAAAATCACAACATTTCAAACAATTGGCATTTTCGACATCACAGGGGGTGGCGATGTGGAGAGATATTAAAATGTCGAATACAACGCTCCTGTGTATTGGGCCTTGGTGGAATTAAAGTACAAGATAAGACGAATGAGTATGTGTGGAATGTCGCTACACAAGGCAGTATTATTGCCTTTTGAAAACGGGATCCAAGTGTGCCTGCCTGCCTGCCTCATGCAAGTCATTCTCACCTTTCTATCTCACATGCGGTGTTTCCACTGGGGCAGTAAAAAAAAACACTCATTGGTAGAAATTTCCAACAACTTATAACTCTTGCGTTGTCAGCCGGCCCCAATGGGCATAACATTCTAAGCGCGCCCCGTCTGCTGCCAAATTAGTTCACTCGATAGCTTGATTGTTTTTCAGATTTATTGTGCAAGCCTCACTTGCATGTAAGAGCAATTCGTGAATCCAATTTAGGCGCAATGCGTTTTTTAATAGTAACTTTTTCTGTTAGACCTTACCCCCAGGTTATATAGATATATACATATATACACATTTCTGCAGCAATTTATGAACATTAACCATATTCATTTCTCCACCTGAATAATTCATTTGTATGTTTGTGTTTCCAGCGTTCCAT